TGCCTGCGATTTATTTCCGAATGTGTCTTTCGCCACTTATATATATATATATATATATATATATATATATATTCATTTATTATTTGTACCGATATTCATAAATGTGCAGAGGCCATTCATAAAATGGGAAAAATTTATTGCTAAAATACATTCCTGCACAAACAATCCTAATTCCAGTTCAGTCAATTCCAACTTGACAGTGTTGTCAGGTATAGGGAGGATTTATCAACATCTAAATATTGTTTGACGGAATGATTCAAAACCACTGTGCAGGCATAAATGTAGCAAATGTACCGTAATGATGACACGTACAAAACTTCTCGTATTTTCTTACAGAATCTGGTTCTAGACAATGAAATGGACTTGTTCGTTGTTGCTGATTATATCAGCAACTCGCAGATCACATATGATATACTATATGCTTCTATATACTGTATACTTCTAATGCAACTCCGATCGCTGAGCATGGTGAGACTATTTTAATTGAGATTTGAGTTCCATGTTCTATAGAAATGAGATTCTCTTTTGACTTCAAAATACCGAGACACATAAGGCCATGAAATGTTATTGCGTGCTGAGGACTGATTTGACAATTTTCTTAATACCTAAAAGAATTGTTGATCCCGATCTCAACTAGAACATTTTCATCTAGTACCAATTCACCGACCGCGGAGAGATGGATGAAACAAATCAAAAGCAAAACGTTAACTTTTCCTTTGGTAAAATGTGGTTTGAAGGTCGAATCGAAAATCAACCTTACTATGAAAGCCGGATTCTCAAGCTGTCGAATGGCTACAGGAACATCTACAAAAAACAAATAAATATTACACACCAGGTGGAAACATGCTTCTTTCCATAACGATGTAGTTTCTCGTTGAAACATAATAAATATAGAAGTAACGTTGAACATATCAACGTTCTCTTTACTAAGTCTATCGCTGTTGAAGGTTTCACAATAAATTTCACCAGTTCTGTTGATAGTGTTACCTGAGAACCTGAGTTCCTCTCTTCGCATCCGTCGTCCCAAAGCTCTTCAGACACGCTGGCAGACAGCTCTGCGTGTCTGTACGGGAATGTCACACTGTCTGCGTATGTCTTCTCACAAGACACTCCGCTTTTCTCACGAGGCGAGACGTCGCCATCACAGTACCTTAGTGAGATCTGATGTTGGGCGGTACGACACGAAACGTATCGTTTGGTCCTTGAAAGGATATTCAGAAGAGAATATGATGAGAAAACATATACATAAAATGGATATGCATATATATGCATATATATATAATGTACACAAGCCATTTCCTGTTGATAGCCGAGACTCCGAGAGAGAGGCTTCTCCGAGAGAGATTGGCAAGCTACTCGTGAGTACCCAGGCCCCACGTTTAGAGCCTAGCAAGCTATACGTTGGGTATCAAAATGCCAAAAAGTGTAACAAATATGGGCCTTGTTCCCCTGATCCCGAAAGAGCCCCTGGTACAGGCAGCGCCAGGTAGGACGAGTACGGAGAGGCCTGCTATAATCTCAGGCCGAACTAGGCTGCCAAGATCGAAGCGCACTGAAATGACGATCTGTACCTACAACGCAAGAACCCTGCTCACGAATCCGCTGTAGAAGATCTATTGATACAAGCAAGAAGAATAACGTACGACGTCATTGGCCTGGCTGAGACGAGAAGGCGCCATCCTTTTCACGCTGTTTATGACACCGGAGATGAACTGTTCCTTGGTACATGCGATCGCAAAGGTGTCGGCGGCATTGGCATCATCGTTAAATCGAATTTGACCGTGAGCATTGATTCGTTTTGAACAACTAACAACCTTTATCGGACGATTACGGTTGAAACGATGTGGTTTTAAAACGAAAAAACGATGTGTGGACGTTTTATGCCGACTTTGACCATCTTCGTTGCTTACGCACCAACATCAAGCTATGAGGAAGACGAAGTCAAAGTGTTCTACGTGGACCTCGAAAAATTCTTCAGAGAAGATCATACATCTTTCAAGGTCATTGTCGGAGCATTTTAACGCAAAAATTGGACTTAGAAGAACGTTTGAAGAACGTCACATAGGGACCCACGGACTAGAATGGAATGAACAGGGTGAGAGGCTATCTGAGTTTGTCATGACGACCCGAACAATCCATGGTAACTCGCAATTCTAAAAGCCTCTTTCTCAGCGATGGACGTGGGAGTCTCCAATGGAGAGTACCATACCGAAATAGATCACATCATAGTAAATCGATGGTTTTGCCTGACCGACGTCGCTGTTGTTCCTAAGTTCTACACGGGATCAGACCATCGCCTCCTTCGCGCAACGTTCCGATTTTCGAGGAGAGGAGAGAAAGCCGCTAGATTCAAACAACGAAGTCTCAGAACTACCATAGACTGGGATGAATTCAAATCATTAGTCGGTTCTTGGGAAGATACCGTTGTCGACAACATCGAAAAGAATACGATCGGCTCGGTGAATACCTTCGCGTTAGCGCTATAAAAGCCGAGAGTCCTAAGGTCACGAAGAGACGCTTGTCTCCGCAGACACTTGAGCTGATACGTCAATGTGGAAACGCACGAGCTGCAGAAAACCAAAACCTTACGTCCGAACATGCGAAACGCTGCAGAGAATCGATAAAACGAGACCTCAAAGAGAGAAGAGCAGCAGTTATGGCAGAAGCTGCAGAAGCTGCAGAAGCTGGGAAGAGCATTCGCAAAGCCCAGCGAGGCTTCGCCAACTATAAGACCAAGATGATTGAACTCCGATACCCTGACAGGACACTTACAGCTTCAAGAAGGGCTATGGAGAAAATCATCCACCAATACTACTCGGATCTCTTCGCTAACCATGTCGTCTTACCGTCATATAAATTGAAAGAGGACGAATATGTCGTTCCACCGGTCCTCCCTTCCGAAATCCGACATGCTATATCGTCGGTGAAGAACAGAAACAACACCCGGTCCAGACAGGATTAGACCAGAAACCTGAAGAACCTGCCGCCAGTTCTCAGCAACACCCTGGCTCGGCTCTTCACTCGCTACCTGTCAGAATGCAAGGTCCCTATTCAATGGAAAACCAGCAAGACCGTTTTGTTGTTCAAAAAGGGAGACCTTCACGACATAGGCAATTATCGCCCAATCTGCTTGCTGTCCGTTGTCTATAAACTCTTTACTCGAGTCATCCTAAACAGGACTGACAGAACACTGGACTGAAGGACAGCCATGCGAACAAGCAGGGTTCCGAAAAGGATTTAGTACCATGGACCACATCCACACGATTACAAGACTCATTGAAGTTTCGCGAGAGTACAAACAACCACTCTGTCTCACTTTCATCGATCTGAAGAAAGCCTTTGATTCAGTGGAAACAGAAGCGGTTATAGAGGCTCTGGATAACCAGGGCGTCCCTACTCGGTACATAATGATCCTTCGTGAGCTTTATAAAGATTTCACGACCAGAATATCTCCATTCTACAACAATATCACCATTGACGTAAGAAGAGGGGTTCGACAAGGCGATACAATATCGCCAAAACTATTCACTGCCACCCTACAAAACGTCATGCGAACATTAGAATGGGACGAAATGGGAGTGAAAATTGACGGTCGACAATTAAACCATCTTCGCTTTGCTGACGATATCGTTCTCATAACACCAAACATCAGCCAAGCGGAACGAATGTTGACTGATTTCGATAACGCCTGTGGAAAGATCGGTCTTCAACTGAATCTAACGAAAACAATGTTCATGAGGAACGGATGGGTTTCTAATGCCCCATTCACGCTCAACGGAACGACAATTTCCGAATGCTCCAGTTACATCTATCTAGGTCGTGAAATCAACATGATGAACGACCTAGCCCCAGAGTTGAGCAGGAGGAAACGAGCGGCTTGGGGAACGTTTAAGAGCATCGAAGATGTAGTGAAGAGGACAAAGAACATCCGACTCCGTGCCCACCTTTTCGACTCGACAATTATCCCTGCCCTAACGTATGCAGCAGAAACCTGGTCGCTACGTAAGCAGGATGAAAGATCACTTGCCGTTATCGAACGCGCAGTCGAAAGGTCGATGCTAGGAGTATCCCGTATTTCGCAAATGAAGAGAAAGGATCCGAAGTTCCGACCTACGTCAACGATCGAAAATCAGAGACGCCGTTCTACACGCCAGGATATCGAAAATAAGGTGGGCCGGACACGTGATGCGCTTCAACGACAACCGATGGACGAGAGCCGTTACCGACTGGATTCCTCGGGACGTCAAGCGCTCTAAAGGAAGACCACTGACCCGTTGGTCCGATTTCTTCACGAAAGCGATGGAAGAAAGATATGATGCTCAGCGAATCCCTAGAGCGAGGAGGACCCACTGGGCTACTCTTGCACGCGATGGGGAAGAATGGAAGAGTAGCTGGTATCCGCTCGAGTCAACGATCAACGGGACGACGGGTGATACAGGTGAAGAAAATTGAGTGTTGAGCAGAAACGCGGCCTCAGGCGGGAATCAAACCCACGATTCATCCTATCCGAGGAAGCGTGCTCTAACCACTACACGGCCGAGGCACATTTACCCGACCACTCATCTTCAACACCTCAATGTTAGCTATCAGCCACCAACCTTTGACAGGTTTGGTCGGGTATGCGATTTCGCTTTATAAACCCAGTTGAGCTGACAGCTATTCTAATTACTATTACTCGCAATCAATAGTATTTTAAGATTGTCATTCATACGCGACTTTGGTTTCTTATTTTCATTTCATCTTGCCAAATAAATCCGCTGTCATGTCTAGAGCTAACTCTGAACCTAAGCAACTTAAGCCTAAGCACGAAAAGCAAACGAACGTGCTTAGTATAGTCCCTAATATCATAGGTATGTATTTAATCTGAAGCTTTCATTAAAGAAAATCTCTAACTCAAGAATAGAAATTGAACGTTTCGTATGAATCGCACTGTGAGGTAGATAAATGACTCTGCGCGGTGGATCAATCACGGTGTTCAGTGAAACTGTCTCAATATTATTTCCGCTGCTACACTGCATTAAAAAGGTCTTTCCGCAGCAAAACATAGTTTTGAAATTGCTGAATCTTGCGCTATCGAGTGATGGTTGAAAGTGTAGAAGAGGAGCCTTGTCCTACGAGAAATACCCGTTTACAAAATACAGACCCATTTTCTTCGCCACAACTCTAATAAGTGTTTTTCTAAATGAAAAAAAGATTCTTGTAAGAAGTTTACGGTCTTAAAACCTGCGAGATTCAGGCCATCGTTTGAGTACTTGTAATCTGGGCAAAAAGCTTTGACGAGATATTGACGCGATAATGCGGGAAGCATGTGAAACATAATGCTTTTTTGGAGTGCTATGGCGCTGTAAGAAGACTTGTCTTAAGGCAAATACGAATAGATTTCCCTAGATTTCCAGTTTTCGAAGGATTACTAGTAGCCTCTCAGGAAATTATCACCCAGCAAAAATGATTCCTTCAAATGGGCCTGTTCGATATGTATATGTATATATATACGTATATATAAGACTTTTTCCGATTTCACGAGCTTGATAGAGCAATTTTTTTGGATAAGATCTTCCGTCTCAGCCTTCTGCTTCAGAGCCGGTTGATCCGAGTCGTTGACCTCACAGTCGCGTGATGTCGCGGCGTAAGGCTTCACAGTCGCACAGCGGCGGATTCTCTAGACTACAACAACGGATAGTAAGTAACCCAACTCGGCCGTGTTGGTTCATACACGTTTGTTTCTTTTTTTGGGCAAGTATCGGCACTATTTGGATCAATAAAGTCGGCAACCAGTATCACTCGTCTATCAGCATCAGTCTACTATCATTATCAAGCAGCAACGGTCTTATATAAAAAGGCACCAACGAGTGAGATAACTTCATTCAAGCCATGCCCCAATGAAGTACGCCCGTCTCAGTCGACTACGACAAGTTGGAGATCGCAAAGCCTAACTACTGGTCGCACTGGCCATTGGACAATGCCATCAACTTTGGTGAGTTTGAAAAAATAAGTGAAAGCTGGTTTAGTAGAGTGCATGTACTATTTCTAATGCGTATATGAATATAAAGTAATCTGCAGATATGAAATAGATTTATTGTCTAGAGATCTGTGTAGCGCACGCGTTAGAGATGTCGTTCAGCACGTGACTCTTGACTCTGCTTGCGTTTCAAACTTATCAAGCCTTGGATCTATAAATGTGTCGACAATTTGGCAGTTTCGTCCATAGGATAGCAATAAGACCCTATTGTTACATCGGCAGGCCACCTTAAGTCATACGATGAGTCAAATGTGCATTTAGTCGCCTTTAAAAATGCTTATTTTTGAAAAGGGTGCACGGCACACCCATGAAAATTGCTCAGCTCCGACAGCTTTACTTATTCTTTGTTATTTAGAACAAAAAAATTGTGAAACGTTGACGCTCATATCGCCCACTGCGGCGTCATGATTGTCGAACTAGCAATGTGTTATACTTTTGTATAGCTTGCCACCAGATTTAGTGTATCACGTTCTCATATTAACATCTTTTGATCTGATAAGGATATACATATTTTGAGCCATAGGTCTAGTGCTATATAGGCGCCTATTTCGTCCTATTGGGACTCTATCAGTAGCACCCTCCCTCGGTTCCGTCGATCCCTTGAGGTGAAACAATAGCATCTTAACAATAACATCTTTTCATAACGACGCCACTGCCGGCTGTCTCCACAGCTAGTGAACCTCGATAACAGTTGAACTAACACGCTGCACGCGAGATTTTGTGTATCACCTTAGAGATTTGATTTTCTGATGACCTGCGTTTATGTTAATATTAGACGTTCACCACAAATGGCATGTGTCTGTTGAACTTTAGATCTCTTCCTCTCCCTGTTTTGAGAGAAGCCACAAAAATCTTGTCAGTACCGAGCAAATTGACCAAAGTATTATAAGGAAGTTGTTTTACACATCTAGATAATGTTATAGCATATTATGGAAGTGTTAGAACAATTTCCTCCCTCTATAGTTAACTGGTGAGAGTGTAGAGGAGATGGGACATTCGCCGTTTATATTAAATGTTCTCTACTCCCATATCGAGCTGATGCTCCTGTGGAATCTTTCTCTATCAGGCTTATATGATTTATGCTCTCTTGGCTACCGTATTATACTTACAAGGGCTTCTTATCAAATTACTTTTATTGAGGAATTTTCAACACTTTTCTGAGCTTCTTAGTTTTGGAAAATTTAGTCCACTTGTGCCAAACTTCGCGTGTGAAACAGCGAAAAAGTAGCTCAGTTTGGCTAGTTTTGTCCGTCCTCTTTCGCAGTCTTTCTTCAGCCTTCGACTTTTTTGCCTTTTCATTTCATTTGTAGAATCCTTCTTAGGTTTTTTTTTTCTATATACTCGATGTCAACGTCTTATTCATCATATTGTACACGTATATCAATCATTGGATAGTTTGTGCTTTAGTAATTACCTTATTGTCAATACGTGCGCAATAATTTGGACTTGTGCCCTGGATTTCTTGTTATAAAAAAGTCTCCCATGGCAGTTTGTGCTTATGTTTAGCTAGTGATTCTTACTGCTAACTTGAAGAACAATGTTTCTTTCCTTTCACCTCTACTACATCATCCTTTAACACTTTTCCGTATCCGCACCCATCACCCCCTCGAAAGAACACGTTTTGTTTTCTAAAACTTTAGTAGCCTCTTAATAGCTGAAGTTTGAGTAATTTTAGTGGTGTGCTTGGTCATCAAAAAAAATTTTTTTTTGCGCTCTTGTAGTAAAAAATAAAATTATGTTATACACACGGGCGATTTCAGCTGGACACAGCCTTTCTTCTTGACTATCACTAACCACTCGACAGCACAAATCTTGATGAATTTAATGGTGTGATTGATTGATTTTTTTAGAAAGGTTTGTCTGGCGTGTTGCTGTTGTCAAGAGGATATTGGGTTTCGCACCTGATACTTCTTGTCGGCCAGGGCGTGCGCAATGCTTCGAAAGCGCGATGTCTTGATGCCAAGGTCGCAAAATTTTATGCACATACCGGAGCAATGAGTGAACGCCGCGTATAAAAAGCAATTTTATTTTCAGTGTCACAGCATAATAAAAAAGATTCTTAAATGCAGGGTACACCACTGAAATCGACAAGATTCTAGTTGTTGAATATTCATCGAAAAGCAAAAGCTTTGTCAACAGGCTAAAGTGTGAAACACATCTATATTTTTGTGTTAAGCGTAGTAGACAAGTAGTTTTGGAAATAAAGTGCACCGCTGTAATTCCTGAAATTCAAACTATCGAGTGGCTACTAGTGCTCTGATAAAAGCAAAAAAGCGGTCCACCCGAAGAGCTGAAATTGGGTGCGGATAAGGAAAGGAATCCATTCTTTTGAAATCCTGAAAGCTTTTCCTATTTAATTGCTTTTGATCATTCATACAAAACCATTACACCGCCAACATAAGGTTTGTTGCCTTGCTAAGAACTTATTCTTCATGGCCATCACTGATTCAATCTAGAAAAGGAATGTGCCTTTTAAGCTGCTGACTTGCGTAGCATAATTTATAGCCAATGTGAAACAGCCTCTAGGATGCTTCCCACAGTAATCAAATAAATTCTTCCTAGTTTTTATTTAGGCTTTGAATAGTTATTCAAATCCGTACATCCACTTAATATCAAACGCGCGTAAAAAACTTCGCACTTTATTTAGGATATCGCAATGCAAACTCTCTGAGAGTTTTCTGCGGCCAAGACATCATACTTGTTTTGTTGAACCGCAGAATTTTTTCAGAAATTTAGACATGTAGAAACATATCAAAATGTATAGAATTAATGAGATTACTTGAGATTATTTATATACATAAACGTGTATATAAATAAATAAATAAATAAATAAATAAATAAATATATATATATTATATTATATATATATATATAGGGAGCAAGAAAAGCCTTATTATTAATTTCAGATATTTTAACACTAAAAAGTACAGCATAAACAAACAAAATTATTCATTTGAAGAAATCATTTTGTTTTTACATTACCAACCATAACAATAAAGAAAAAAAGTTGAAAACGAGGATGCCGTATCGGGTATAAGAGGACAAATGAAAAACCAATCACATTAGCTAGAGAAGACTTTTCATAGGAGTGAGTAACTATTCAAAAACTGACACTTCAGTACAGCCCCAGGTCGTCGGAGTTCGCAAAAACTTTTTTTCAACGTTGCTATAGGAGAAGATTTCTTGCTTTACATAAGTGAATATCAAGATTTGAAAATGTTATTTCAAAACAGCATTTTTGGTGAGCTGTAACAGCAAAGATGAAATAATGTTCCTCACTCAAACATTTCTCGCTGAACAAAAATTTCCTTTAAACTCTTAGTAGTCATTCGATAGCTTAGGTCTCCATAAATCCAGTGACGTAGTTGGTTTTCGAAAAGAACTCCTCAGTACGCTGAGAAAATCAGAAAGAGATTGGATCTCGCAAATTTGCCACTAGAATAGGGTGATAATTTTCCTTGGGTTTGGTACATATCTATGCATTGTGAAACTACTTTATATATAAACATATATATATCGTATAA